CTTGAACTGTGGTGCCCAGAACTGGACACAGTACTCCAGGTGAAGTCTGACCAGAGCAGAATACAGTGGCACTATTACTTCCCTTGATCTAGATGCTATACTCCTATTGATGCAGCCCAGAATTGCATTGGCTTTTTTAGCTGCCACGTCACACTGTTGGCTTATGTCAAGTTTGTGGTCAACCAAGACTCCTAGATCCTTTTCACATGTACTGCTCTCAAGCCAGGTGTCACCCATCTTGTATTTGTGCCTCTCATTTTTTTTGCCCAAGTGCAATACTTTACATTTCTCCCTGTTAAAATTACTTTACATTTCTCCTTGTTAATATCCCGTAGGTTGCTCGGTAGGAGCTGTACAGAAGGGAGCTTTCGATGACATCCGCAATACCAATTCATATGATTTCCTTTCCCACTTATTTGAATCCTCCTTTTTGCTACATTAATTCAAAATGCTGCTCCACACAGAAGGCTGGAATCTCATGCTTTGCCAGTGGAAGTGACAGAAGCAGCTGGAGGAGCTTGGCTTTGTCATAGTTGCTCACATCTGGAAGCCATTTAAGAATATAACACCAGAAGAAGATAAGACGAGCCTGCAGGATCAGGCCCATGGCTCATCTGGTTACATTCAGCAGAGGGAGGAAGCCCCCTCAGGTGTCAGAGGCTGTTCTCCTTCATTGGGGAGCAGAAGTGGGTATGCTGGGGGACCTGCACGACACCCCCTAAACTAACCAGCAGCCCTCAGGTGTGCTGGAGGGTGTGGTGAACCTGTTGCCAGCGTCGACGTTAGAGTCAGCTCTCAGTGCAGTCACCTTCTGAACCATAGGAGGATGGCAGCAAAATATCTTGGGCTAGTTCTGTATCTATTCCATCATCAGGAGTGCCAACTTGGCCCCGCGACCATGGGTGCCCAGGACTGTGGGTGCCATTCGGCGTGCATGGCCCTGGCACCGAAATTTGTGGGTGCCTGGTCCCTTCATGGGGAATTTTGTGTGCTCTTGGGCACCCATGGCCCCAGGGAGTTGGCATGTATGTCCAGCATCCTGTTCTCATAGTGGCCCAGCCACATGCCTATGGAAACTTGCAAGCAGGGTTCAAGCACACTCCCCTCCTGTGGCTTCCAAGAGTGTTATGTACTGAGTTGAATAGGATCCAGAATGCAGCAGGCTGACTGGTCCTAGAACAATAGAATTCAGAATACAGCAGCCTGATTGGTCCTAGAACAATAGAATTCAGAATGCAGCAGGCTGATTGGTCCTAGAACAATAGAATTCAGAATGCAGCAGCCTGATTGGTCCTAGAACAATAGGATCCAGAATGCAGCAGTCTAATTGGTCCACAGGGGCCACCCAATCCAGCTCCAGGTGGAAGTGAATCCGCAACCTGATTGGCCTACAGCAGAATCCCAGAATTAGCCAATCACGTGGGGCCCATTGTGTAAATAATGTATATAAAGCAAACATTCTGGGGGGAACATCCATTCCTCCTCACCACTATGAGCTGAATAAAGAGCATGAAATCCACACTCGACTCCGAGTATATTTCAAGGAACTTGCATCCAGAAGCCTCTGATCTGCAGACAGAACATAGCTAGTAGCCACTGATCGCCTTGTCCTCCACGCGTTTGTCCAACCCTCTTTTGAAGCCATCCAAACTGCTGGCCATCACTGCCCCCTGTGGGAGTGAGTAGGGTAGTATAGTGCGTGAAGAAGTACTTTCTGTTTTCCTGGATTCTCCAACATTCAGCTGCATTAGATGTCCAGAAGTTCTAGAGAGGGCTTGAACCACCACAGCCAGACACACTGAGCCATTGCGCCACTGGGGGTTACACCTTACATTATGAAGGTAAATGCATCTGCATAGAGAAGGTATGGAGAGGAGAACTTTTTAAAATTAAAGCATTGAATCAGTGACCGGAATACATAATATATAACAGGAAACAGAGCTTGCATTCAGCAGCAAGCATGGTCAGATGTTTCTACCGCTAGAAGTGAGTGCTCCCTGAAATTCAAATAGGAGGAGTTGAGGGAAGTCCTGCAGGATAATTATATCTTAGCTAGATCTACGCTTGACCCATGCTGCCTCTTTTATGAATGAAATTTCATACACTAATGCTGACAGTTAGGTGCTAAAGTATTCAGAGCAAAACCAATCCCTGTACAGTGGTACCTCGGGTTACATATGCTTCAGGTTACAGACTCTGCTAACTCAGAAATTTTACCTCGGGTTAAGAACTTTGCTTCAGGATGAGAACAGAAATCATGCTCTGGCGGCGCGGCAGCAGCAGGAGGCCCCATTAGCTAAAGTGGTGCTTCAGGTTAAGAACAGTTTCAGGTTAAGAACGGACCTCCAGAACGAATTAAGTTCTTAACCTGAGGTATCACTGTATATGGCGTTATTGACCTACTAAGGCCTTTGACACTGTAAATCATAATGCCCTATGGACTGTCCTTCTGAAAATTGGCTGCCCAGATAAATTTGTGAACATCCTTCGGCCCCTCCATGATAATATGACAGCAACAATTGCAGATAACAATGGCTCTCAAAATGAACCATTCACAGTGGGATCAGGTGTTAAACAGGGCTGTGTTACTGCCCCAACTCTATTTATTATTTTCATTGCCATGATCCTACCCTTTGTTGAAGGGAAACTCACCACTGGAGTAGAAATCCTATATCGAAGAGATGGAAAGCTCTTTAATCTGAGTAGGCTGAAAGCATAGAGTAAGGTTACCATAACTTCCATCATAGAACGTCAGTATGCTGATGACAACATAGTGTGTGCACACTCAGAGAATGACCTCCAAACGATCCTAAATATATTCGCAGAAGTTTACAAAAAGCTTGGTCTACCACTCAACATCCAAAAAACCCAAAGTGCTGCACCAACAAGCACAAAACAACCCCTCTGCAGCGCCACAAATTCAACTCAATTGTGTAATATTGGAAAGTGTCAATCACTTCTATCTGGGCAGTTATCTTTCCACAAGGGCCAACACTGATTGCCTGAGCTCTGCAAGTGCATCTTTCTCCCAATCGAAGTGCAGAGTGTTTGGGGACTGGGACATTCGCAGGGAAACCAAAATGCTTGCTTGCAAAGCCATTGTACAGGGTGAGTCCTTTAAAAGAGGCCCCGTGAATATAGAGTACACATGTTCCACGGGGACTCTTTTAAAAGATTCACCCTGTACTACCAACCTTACTGTATGCTTGTGGAACATGGACCACTTATAAAGTCAATCTCCAACTCCTCAAAATATTCCATCAACGGTGTCTCCGAAAATTTTTACACATCACTTGGGAAGACAGGCGAACTCATGCCAGTGAACTGGAAGAAGCATAGATCACTAGTGTTGAAGCAACGATTCTTCAACATCAACTTCATTGGACTGGTCATGTTGTTCAGATGCCTGATTACTGTCTTCCAAATCAACTACTCTATTCCAAACTTAAAAATAGAAATCATGATGCTGGTGGTCAACAAAAGAGGTTCAAAGACTCTCTCAAGGCAAATCTTAAAAAATGTAGCATTTTTTTGTAGCACCGACAACTAGGAAACACCGGCCTGCGAGCGCTCCAATTGGAGAATAGCCTTTACCAAAGGTGTCATGGAGTTTGAAGATGCTCAAACTCAGGACGAAAGGGAGAAACATGTTAAGAGGAGGCACGCTTGGCAAACCCTCACCGTGATCAATTCCTGCCCGGAAACCTATGTCCCCACTGAAGAAGGACGTGTGGATCCAGAATTGGCCTCCACAGTCACTTACGGACTTACTTCTTAAGACCGTGTCATGGAAGACAATCTTACTCGGCTACGAGTGATCGCCAAAGAAGAAGAAGAAGACCAAAAGTATTCAGAACTTTCTAGTAATCATGGTATCTGGGAGTTCATATGCGCCATATGTGTTCATATGTGTGCACTTTTTCCAGCCACAGTGCAAAAGACAGACCTAACCCCACCCCCGTACATGGCTTCAGAAACATGTTGCCCTACTGAGTCTGCTTTCAAGCATGTTGCCACTTCATACTTTTTCCTTGAAAACAGGGTGGGTGGGTGGAAATCAGAATTCTAAAGCGTGCCCTGAATTATATTAAAAGAGCGTCCTCATTTTCATTGTTATTGTTAATTAGAATAATTTAAACAATAGCAAAAAACCAGATTAACTTAATAAACATAATTATTCAGCGGTGCATTCAGAAAACCCATTTGTTTGTAAGCTGCCTGCTATCATCCTACGTTGACTTCTCCCTTTCAAATTTTAATGGCTTTCACAGCCATAAAATTGATGCAAGCAAACATTCCCCTATTGTTATATATTCATATTTCCCGTGCTTCTTTTTCATGCTGGCATCTCTTGTACCTAAAGATAATCCTAAAATGACTTACGCTTTGATATGAGAGGAGCTCACCTAAAAGGCCTTTGCTACCATCCAGGATGGGTGGAGGCTGCTTGTCGTTTCTAAAAAGAGCATTATTTGTATGGCCATTACTCACTTAAGAGTTTTGAACAGGCTTGCGATGGGCAGGGGGAGATATAACCCAGGTTCAAATTCCCACTTATGCCATGAAGCTTACCGGGTGATTTTGTACCAGACACCTGCTCTCAGCCTAACCTACCTTTCAGAACTGTTGTTAAGATAAAATAGCTGGTGGAGACAGTGATGTGCGCTCTTTTGAGCTGCTAAAAAAGGAGAGGTATCAATGTAGTACATAATAATAACAAAAAGATCATCCATGGACTCACCATGTTTGTGTAGTTCAACCTCAGTTGCCCCCTTTGCAAATGTAATGGCGGTTAATGGTCTTGCGAAATATTGTGGGGAATTGGATGGTAGGTTCTAGGGATAGGTGTTGATATCAAAAGAAACATATATAAACAAATGTATCCTCCAGCAATGGTGTAGTGGTTAAGAGGGGTGGACTCATAATCTGGTGAACTGGGTTCGCTTCCCCGCTCCTCCACAGGCAGCTGCTGGGTGACCTTGGGCCAGTCACACTTCTCTGAAGTCTCTCAGCCCCACTCACCTCACAGAGTGTTTGTTGTGGGGGAGGAAGGGAAAGGAAGAAGAAGAAGAAGAAGAAGAAGAAGAAGAAGAAGAAGAAGAGGAGTTTGGATTTGATATCCCGCCTTTCACTCCCCTTCAGGAGTCTCAAAGCGGCTAACATTCTCCTTTCCTTCCTCCCCCACAACAAACACTCTGTGAGGTGAGTGGGGATGAGAGACTTCAGAGAAGTGTGACTGGCCCAAGGTCACCCAGCAGCTGCATGTGGAGGAGTGGAGACACGAACCCAGTTCCCCAGATTACGAGACTACCACTCTTAACCACTACACCATTGCTGGAGGATATATTTGTTTATATATGTCTCTTTTGATATCAACACCTATCCCTAGAACCTACCATCCAATTCCCCCACAAGGAGATTGTTTGCCGCTTTGAGACTCCTTAAGGGGAGTGAAAGGCAGGATATCAAGTCCAAACTCCTCCTCCTCCTCCTCCTCCTCCTCCTCTTCTTCTTCTTCGAATGCCTTCTCTCCCCAAAGGAACACATTTCTGTGGACTGGGGCCTTTCCCCGTTAGGCAGAAGAGGGATGGGGATCTTTTGGTACTCCAGATGTTGGTGGACCCCAGCGGACCCCGTCCCTCACCATTGGCTATACTGCTTGGGACGGATGGATGTTGACATCTGGTAACGTCTGGAGGATCGCAGGTTCCCCATCTCCTGATGCAGAGGACTCCACCTGAATGGAGCATTAGAATGGAGCCGTGAGCCAAGGGGAGAGCTGAACGGTTCATAAGGCATTCTATTCTATACTCTCCAGTCGTTCTGAATTTAAAGAGTCCCTGGATGGTGCAAAATCTTTGGAAGTCCTCCATGTTGCATATCGTGTGAAATGACTTGTGCTGGCACTATAATAAAGAGCTGGGACGGAAGATCTATTTTCCAGCCATCATTCTTAAAAGATTTTTAAAACTTTCCTTCTTAAATGTGATGTGCTCCAAGGCATTGTTTGATTTGAAATGCACTCAGTCCATTTTGTGTGTGTGTGTGCGCACGCGGGAGGTTTTGTTGCACAAGCCGGGTTGTTTGATGGGATGCGAGCCCCATCAGCATGACGTCTGTCATTTGCAGTACTGATGATGGTGCCCGGAAAGGTCTTATTAATCTTTATTTAATGCGTCCGTGTGTATGAGAGAGGGGGTGGGTGGGAAACAAACACAGAAATAATAAATCATATGTATGCATTATGGGAAGCCTCTGGGCATTCAGACCGCATTACTCATATCTTAGAAAGGTAAAAATGGCAAGCTGTATTAGCTGAGTTCAAGGCACAAAAGGCTGTATTCATTTCGCGGCATGCATAAGTTATGCAAATGGGAACAACTTCAGGGAAAACAGCAACACAATATTCTATCCATTGGAATAATACAATTTAATAAGCACTTGTCATTTAATAAGCACATGCATTCTGCTAAGTTTCTTACTCGTTTTTTGGTCAAGGCTGTTAACTACTTCTAACATCTTGCGCGAAGAGTGTTTAGATGTCCAGGCACTGGGTTTGCCCAAGAAAGGCGAGGGCGCTGCTGACAGAACATAACCTTCCCTCCCCGCGATGCTCCAGCACACCCATGAGGCAAGGTGAGGTGACTGCCTCAGGCGGCAGGATCCACAGGATGTCGACCTTTCTTCCCCCGTTGTTCCTGATGTAGATCTTCTCATTCCTTCTGCCCTCATCTCTCATCCCTTCTTCCCTGGCAGGGAGGAAGGTGCCATTTTGGAGTCCCTCTCAGGTGCCAAAATATCCTGGGTTGGCCCTGCTTCTGGATATGGTTAGATGGGGTGGAGCCGATCATGGATGTGTAGTCCTCTTGCATAAACAGTAACACCTAAAAACAACACACACCTTGAAATAGAACAGAAATGAATTGGGGTGTATATGTCCAAAATTATCAATAATTAACACAGTGGGTGTTAGGGAACCAGTGTCTGATAGTGGTTAAAATGGTGGATTGCTCCTGGAGAGATACTGGCTCATAGCTTCACTGAGACATGTTGCTCACTACCTCTCAGCTTAATCTGCCGTACCTCAGAGGGATGTTATGAGGATAAAATGATGGGACCATGTATGTTACCCTGAGATGTTAGGTGGAAGCGTAGGACGAAAATGTAATTTATAATATTAAATAGTTTGGTATTTGAAAGTATTGATGTTGTGTGTGTGTGTGTGTGTGTGTGTGTGTGTAACTATATTTATTGCTTATTACTATAGTTATACTCCATGTTTGAGCTCAGATTGGATCCCAGAATAGTTTAGAGCAATTAAATAAATCACCAAGGTACAATGTAAACGAAATAATTTTTATGGCTGTTGTTGCCCTTAAAATCTCCCTGGAATAGCAGCAGCAGCAGCAGCAGCAGCAGCAGCAACAAAAGCAGATTTCTTTAAGGCTGATACTATACTATTGAAGAGTATAACCAATTGATAAGAGCCACAAGATTTGATCCAAATTAGGTTTATGGGTGAATCAAATTTTCCCTCCGTCCTTACTCACTAGGTAATCCTTGTAGGTGGGTTTAGTGATGGCTGCTAGAGAGGATTTTAATGGATAATTAGGTTTGGGCTGCAACACTGAATATGCTGTTTGCTTCTGTGTGTTTGCTCTTGCAATTTTAGCTGTCCTGAAAAAGGAAGCAGACGCTTTCTCTTGGAAGCAAACTGATAAGACTGCAAATATATATATAGATCTGGGATCTTGAGCAAGAGGTTAGGTTTCTTCCAATCCAGCCGTTCATAGTAGAATGGCCCTTGAAATATCAAGGTTAATAGTATCTTCTGTACCGATAAGCGAGAAGATTTAATTCCAGACATCTAAATTGTAGTTGCTAGTGTTTAGTTTGGAATTAATAGAGTGACTACAGTGATCAATAACAGATATATTCAAAACATGTGTCTTTAATTCCCTATCTGTTCTGCTGCTTGCTGGAATGATCTAATGACCTTTCTGGTGGTGTTAATGAACAAGTTATTAATTAAAATGTGATCTTTATCCTTCACTTCTCTCAAATCAGCCTTTCTGTTTGTATGAGGCTTCCACACTCGCTTCATGAGAGAAGCAATACCTGTCCCCTGCAGTATCCTGGAAGGTTTTGGCCTTTTTGTCCCTTTTGACTTTAATCTATTGTTCTGTTCAAGGTTACTTTGAAAACACCAGGTTGTCTTGCTCAGTGTCACAGTTTTCACCTTTGTTTCTAATGCTGGACTGTTTATGCTTGCCCATATAATCATATTCCAATCCCCCCTTGGCTTCTGGGAACTTTGCTCTCATCCTGTAACTGCAGGTTTCCTCCTCTTGCTGGAGTGAGCCTAGAAGAGGGAGCTGTGACCTTGCAGAGCAGTTATTTGTAAGCAACAATATTAATTCATGAGTTTTCCCCTGTCTCATCACATCACACATTGCAGCAAGCTGACCTCTTTCTCTCCAGGTGGGTTTACTGTGGAACCAAGATATGCAACCGTCTGTGACTTTTTGTGATGCAAAAGGACTCTTAGTATGTCTTCTCAAACTGAGCTGTATATTAATGTTTAGCTTTCAATGTTAAGGGCGACAACAACGATGGTTCCTCACTTACAGGAATTACTGAGAATTACAATTGCTGGATTTTATTGCCTTTGCCAGATCTCTGATATAAATAGAAGAGGTTATCCGAGCAGTCAGTATGGAAGTAGCCTACCCTCCTAGCAACCTTCAATTTATGTGATAGGTGGTAAAGGAGTTGAAGGTTCTATCTGTATATCTACCATATACAAAAAAATAAAAATAAATGTCCAGTAGCACCTTAGAGACCAACTAAGTTTGTTGGTACCATAGTACTACCATAGCATATTTTAGAATTAGTATTCATTTGCTGAGACCAAGTAACAGGCATGCTGTGATTTTCTGCATGCACTTCCAAACATGGTCTAAATATAATCTGACGCCGTCACGTGACATATTGGGGACAGGTGCTGGGGCTCAGTAAGCGTCACTATGGTTAGGTCCACCACCATTCCTGCCGCAACTGCCGCGGCTGCTGCTACAACAGCCAGCCAGCCACATGGGCACATCGAGGCTGGAATGACTATTAAGACAGAGTTGCTGATGAGTTTTGTGTGTGCCTGAAGTGTGCAGTGTTGCCGCCAGGCCCTTGGCCACACAGGGACTGGTGGGATGGCCTGGCAGTGGCACTGAGAAGAGCTTCAGGTCATATCCTCAAATTTACCAGCACTGCCATGTTAAAGATGCAAACCCCACCCCCAGCATCTGTTTTGGAGCTCTGCTGAGAGCTGCCACCATCAACAACATGGGCTGGCAAGAATGAACCCTGGTCAAGAAAGAGGGGCATGTCCACTGAACATTGGGCAGAGTGGACCTTTCTGGAGGCAAGCCTGATTACCCTATTCTTTACCATGTATCCTTCAAGGGAATACAAATATCTAAGTCAGATGCAGGCAAACCTATATGTTGCACCTGGCCAACACTGAGGGCTATTTTGAAAGGGCATGGGGTGACCACTTCAGTTTATTGATGGATATATGATGGTGGACATTACATGGCTGAAATGGCCGGATAGGCCTAATTAGATCCATGGGCTGGAGATTCCCCCACTGCTCCTATAGGCAGTTTCCTGCTCTTCCTAATTCACAGTACAATATCTAGAAGAGTTTGGATTTGATATCCCGCCTTTCACTCCCCTTAAGGAGTCTCAAAGCAGCTAATATTCTCCTTTCCCTTCCTCCCTACAACAGAGAAGTGTGATTAGCCCAAGGTCACCCAGCAGCTGCATGTGGAGGAGCGGGGAATCGAACCCGGTTCACCAGATTACGAGTCTATCGCTCTTAACCACTACACCACACTGGCTCCCTATCACTCTCTGTCAATCTTTCCCCTGTACTTTTCAGTATGGCTTCTTGGAGAGTGTCTGTGCTATGACATCCTCAGCTGGCCATCACAAATCACCATCAAAATGTGGAATCTGTGGATTTTCAGAGCTAAAACCAGTAACAATCTCAGGAAAGAACTGCGGGTGATGTAGCACGTCGGTGGAAAACAAACTGATGTTTATTCTGATAAATTTTTTAAATAAAAAAAAATACATGGAAAATGCCCTCACTATTCCTTTGCCTAACTCATGCTACATTTTAAAATGCATGAAGTACCATTTCTCTAGGGACCGACATCTGTCATT